AAAAAAAATATAAAGAAGTATAGAATTTCTTTTTTTTTACAAAAAAAAACTAATTCATATATTTCATTCATAGATGGTTATCTATATCGAAGCTTGTGAATCTGGTTCAATGCTTGAAGGTTTATTACCTGATAATATTAATATTTATGCAACAACCGCATCAAATGCTGAAGAATCATCCTATGCATGTTATTATGATGCTAAACGTGAAACTTATTTAGGTGATTTATATTCAGTTAATTGGATGGAAGATTCTGATGCTGAAGATATTACAAAAGAAACATTATTTAAACAATTTCAAGTTACGCAACAGACCACAAACTTAAGTCATGTTATGCAATATGGTGATCTTGTATGTTTAGTTTTGAAGGAAATTCTTTCTTATAAACTTTTTTTTATAAATTTAGACATTAGGTGCATCACATAATGTTATCGAATTTCAAGGTGCCAATAAAACTAATAAACAACAATCAGCTGGTCGTATGAATACATTACTTAAAGTAATAAAATATGAAAAAAAAAAATTTTTTATTAATAAATTTTATATTTTTAGGGTGATGCTGTTGCTACAGTTGATGTTCGTCAATCAATCTTATCACATCGTTTATCTAAATTCGCAGTTAATTCTATTGAAAGAATGCAATTAGAACGTGAACTTGCTCAAACTACTGAAGTAAGTTTTTTTAATTACTTCAAAAACAAAATATATAGTTATAATTTTTTTTTCTAGCAACGAGAAATTATTTCCAAAACAATTGATTCAATTGCTCAAATAGCATTTCAAGTTAATCGTGCTAATGCTTATGAATTAGTTACTTCCAAACGTATGAAACTTACTCAACATGATTGTTATAAAGCTGCTACACAACATATTCATGAAAAATGTTTTGATATTCAAGTTTGTATACGTTATATACTATTTTCATTAAATTTCATTTTTTCTTATAGAATGAATATGCTTTGAATAAATTATGGATTGTTGCTAATCTATGTGAAATTGGTCTTCAAAGCTTTACTATTAATCATGCTATTGATAATGTTTGTGATGCTCTTGGTCGTCAAAATTTTCAATATTAATAATATCTATTTTTTTCTTTTTATTGTAATAAATAATAAAAAAAAGCGTACGTAGTTATTTATATCCTATTTTTTCTCTCTAGCATTAATCTTTGAATTGATTTTCAATGAAACGAACGGATGTTCAAGGTTAAGAAAATTCTTTTTACTTCGACAACATTTTTTTCCCTTGTTATGATTGCTGAAAACATCTTGTCCAAGGTTTTTTTTTCTAAAGGAAAAAAATATGATATAAACCTTGAAAAACATCTTAAAAGTTCATATAATAATTCTATTCTCATTAATACATATACTATATCATAGATGTCGTCAATTCATTTTACTAAACTATGAAAAAAATCTACATAATATAGTAATTGATATGGTTAATTGAATCATTGATATGTGTTACAAGCGTCATTAAATTATTAATAAAAGCATAACTAATCGAATATTTATTTAAAGTAAAACGATAAAAACAATGTTAATAGAATTAAATAGAATTTTACTGATAGATATGAACTATTACTTGGTAGTCGACCATAAATATCTGTAATATTATAACGATATAAGACTTTTTTCACAGCTTCTATTGTTAATGGACCATTACATAGCATTCGATTACATTTCACAGTCATCATAGCAAAATTACCAGAATCATAAATATTAATGCTAGACGATTGTTGAGTACTACGTTGACATGAACGTCGATGAAGTTTATATTTAATAAGATCATCAATAATTTGACATGAACCAGTTATTCCAGTTACTGAACATTGACGAATAGAATCATTCGCATCAAAACATACTAAATCATCTGATGAATTCGATTTTCTATTTAAAATTCGTTGGAGATCAAAATAAATATTTGAAATATTCATAAATCGTTGTGTCATTTCTAGAATTGTTTTTTCAGCAAATATTCTTGCACAATCATCTTCATCCTTACATGAATGATTAATATCATATGAAAAAAATGTATTTGTTGCTGTTTCAATCATAATAAAATGTCTATTATCATTAATACTCTGATCATGTAAAATATCACCTGGAAATGTAACAATATAATTTCGACGTTCATACCAAAAAACAAGTTTAACTGAACAACGATGACTTGATATATAAGTACAATTATTTGGTAGAAAAAATGATTGATTCATTGAATAAATCATTGAACAATTATTTATACATTGTAAACTATGAACTACATTGAAAATCGAGACGAATAATACGAGTAAAAATATCATTATCGTATTTTCTTTTCCTATCCAAAATGAATCTAATTGTATGTTCTTAACATAGATAAACAAAAGCAGTTTATATATATATATATACATATGGGCTATTATTAAAGAAAAATATTCTGGTAGTTCGGAAAATGCCAGTATATCGTTGTTTATCTTGTCAACCTCAATGTCATTGTCCTTAGATTGAGACACTAATGGTTATATATATATACATATATATATATGTAAATGAAAGAATTGCATAAAGTTTTATTTTAGACATGTCATCAAACTAGAAAAAAGAAAAATTTTTTTGCATTCAATAGTATTAAATATTTTCCGATAGAGAATTTCTTATAATAGAACAATCAATTAATAAATATTGAATGTGTTCCTGGTTACGATGATGTAATATTACATAGAAATGAGCCAATTAAATAATGTTGCCTTTTTATTTATAACTATATCTATATCATTAATAAAACTGTCCTTCTATTTAAAAGAAAAAAAATCTTGTCATTTGATCTTTATAAAATCAATATCATCTTTATTAAATATTGAAACCATTTTTAGTTGTTCTGCGACAATCAACACATGTCTGATGCTTATGTATGAACCTTGAATCAGCACAATGACTACGACGACGATGACGAGAATGAAAGCATTAGGCACTTGTAATGTGATGCAATAATGAAAAGCTGAGTATGAGCAAGTAAGAGAGAGAGCAAAAAAAAAAGAGAGAGCGACAGAGAGAGAGAGAATGCTGGAGCTCACCACATTCGATTAATCTTTCATCATCAAGGAGCTGTCCTTCTTTTTTTTACGTATTTTTCAGTCTGTTACTTCGCACAAACTTAACAACGGTAAACATACTATAGTTTTTATTTTGAGAGTTACATAGAAAAAAAAACAGATCAGTTGAAAAAAAAAACGAAATTATTATCAATCTTATACGGTATGTTATTAAATTTCTTTTTTCACACTTCTATGTATAAGTATTGATTCAATTGTTTCGAAACGTAATTGAACGCACACTTTAATAAGATATTCAAATAAGACTTCGCTATATTGATTAGGAAGACAAACAATAGCAAGATTGAATAATTAAGTAAAGAAAAAAGGTTTTTTTCTTCTATAATAATAATAGAATAGATCGATTATATCTTGTTCCTATTGTTAAATGTGTTATATAATCAATCAGAGTATATAATACTTCTTCTTCTTCTTCTTCGAAAAAAAGGGCAGATGTGGAGAAATTCAATGAAATGATTTTGACAGATGCTGTGCAAACTTTTCTTTTCGAATGAAATATGTATATATAACCAGTGGGCATATTATCATTATCTATTACTCAAATGCTTATTGAAATAGGTAAATGATTAAGTATCATTATTATTTATTCGATATTGATTGAAATTATATCTAACTCTTAACTTATGAAAGTTGATAGCTTTATTCATTATTTTTTTTAAGTAAGTTTTGAAGGACATGTAAGGATACTTGTATCATAAAAAAATTACTTTGGATATGTTCGTAAATAATTAATACTTCGAAAAATGATACCTAACGAATAATTGATATGGTATATGAAAAAATAAATTTTATAATATTTGACAAGTAATTATCTTTATTACAATGTTAATTAGAAAGAAAATGTAAGTTATTCATATAAAAACAGTATCGATTATAGACATTCAATTAGTTGAACGAAAACATAGAATGTGAATATAAACAAAGAGAAACCATGAGAAAATATATCAGCTTCTTTTGTATATATTTTTCTTTTCTTTCTCGTTTATATGATCTACTAGTTCGGTATTATTAATGAGAAAGAAATGCAATGTTAACCGAGATATAAGACATCTTCTATAAAGAAAAAAAAAGGAAAGAAATAGTGGATCATAGAATAATAATAATAATAATAATATCATCGACGAGACTATATTATAGGCACGCGTTTGTCTAAATAGTTGATAACGAGATTCTGTTCTGTGCACCCTACTGACTGTTGACAATATTACAAGCGTGGGCGTCATCTTGGGATCAATACCATATCAATAGATAACAGATTTTTATGCTTTTTTTTCTTCCTTGTTGATCATCATCATTATTTTTCCACTAATCATGACAACTGAGATTCATCATCTTCTCCTCGACGAAATCGCATATATGCTTTTATATTTGCATCAATTCACTTTCTTCGTGGACAACACATGTAAGATTGTCTAGCCATTCATTCTGTATTTATTTGATCGGTATATATCGATCGTACTAATTATATGCGTGCATCTGTATATGTATGTACTTGTCTGCTCATGGCTTACAATCTCAGTGTCATCTACTGTCTCTTTTTTTTTTCATTTTGTACGTTCAAAAAAAGAAACGGAGGATAATATCAACTAGAGAGAGGAAGAGAATGACAAGCGTAAGTAATAATCACTGGAGCGTTCGATTGGCGCATCCGAAGTATAGGCGATACTCACAGAAGAAAGAATAGCTTGCTCATTATTCTGTCTGTGTCCCTCAGCTTTTTTCCACGAGCTCCGAAAAAAAAAGAAAAAAAGAAGGAAGAGCAATGCGAACAAAGCAAATGCGAACTGCGTAAGCTAATACATACATACATACATACATATATACGTATATATATGTTTCCTTTAATCTTATAAAAGATAAATCGATATTTTTAAGGTATTTTTTTCATCTATTTAGTATGTACAATTCCGTTTTAAAATCTTCTTCAAACATTTCATTAATTTCCGATGAATCAATGTCACCGGGAACAACAAATTCAAGTCTTTTACCAATTATGCGTAATGAATATAGTCTTGATAGTGTGTGTTGTACAAGACGAACTTTACATACATTTTCACATATGTGGATTGTTGAAAATTTCTCATCATATCTTGAAGATCCTGAACCAATTATTTGTTTATCATCATCACCATTTAGTCCCGTATCAGGTTGTAGTGTAGCAACACAATGGCGTCTTGTTTGTTATCCAAAAGGTAATTATGGTGCATCATCAAATTATATGTCAATATTCCTTGAATATATCAAAGGTGAACGTGACATAAAAGCTAAAGCTGAATATTCACTTGTTAATCGTAAATGTGAATTAACTGAAATGCGTAAAGATGCACAATTTTCAATTTATAAATGTGGTAATTCACGTGGTTTTATAAATTATGTTAAATTTGATACATTAACATTAGTCGAGAATGAAACACTCGATGATGATAAACTTAAAATTTATGTACGTATAACCATTATGGATGATGCCATAACAGAAGAAACTAAATATCAAGAATTTGATGATAATGAAAGTGTTAATTTTACAACACGTGGTTTTGAAAGTCTTGTTAAAGATTTTACCCAGCTTTTACTTCAATCAACATCAAAAATGAGTGATATTAAAATAAGAGTTACTGTACCATATGGTGATTGTAATAGTGATGATTCATTTGAATCTCCTGTTACTTTTCATGCACATAAATTAATACTTGCTGCACGATCACCTGTATTTGCAGCAATGTTTTCTAATCGTACATTAGAAAATACAACAAATACAATTGATATTAATGATTTACATCCAAATACAATTCAATCAATGCTTGAGTATATGTATACAGGCAAAGTAACTGATATAAAAAATTCTACAGTTGAATTATATCGTTGTGCTGATAAATATCAATTAGAAGATTTACGTTCACAAGCTGAAATGGCATTAATGAATTCATTATCGATTGATACAAGTGCAGAAATTTTATTACTTGCTGATCAACATCATTCGGAAGATCTTAAATCTCGTGTTATTCAATTTATTGTTAGTGGTAATCTTAAGGCTATAACACAAACAGATGGTTGGCATAGATATGTTGCTTGTACTCCTGATTTAGTTACTGAAGTTATACAAGCAACAGCTATTGAATAAATGAATAGATCGATTTTTTTCTCTCTTTTACTAACGCCTAGTCACCTTATCTTATATTTATCAAGGACAAACTATCGATGTAAAGATTTCTTTTTTGTATTAAAAATTCTGTTTTTTTATTTTGTTTCTCCTTCAGTTTTAATCATATGAACATATGTCGAGAGAAATGAAGCGATAAAGGACATTTTTTTTGTTTGTCATTTATTATATTTTTAATGTCCCTGGAAGAAGGTGACTAGTATATTAATCAAACTTTACACTATCATGGATGAATAAACAAGAAAGACTAAAAAAAAAAGAATATGATTTTTTTTTCATGTTTAACAAGTTAGATTGGTAACAGCTGTTGAATTTGTTAGTTTTGTAGATTCTCGTGTATTATTATTATTGAAAAGATCTTGTAATTGTTCAATATCATCAGAAATTGTAGGTAGAATGAGGTTTGAAGTTAAAGATTCGAATAGATCATTACTTTGTGATTGATTTCTAAGTTTTCTTGTTTAATTTTACTCGTAGAATCATTTTCAGATGTTTTCACAGATAGAGAAGAAAATAGTTGTTATATGTCGTCGGTACTATCGATAATTTGAGATGTTGTCGTATCAGAAATTGAAGGACTAGATGTTCAATCAAGTAATTCAATAAAATCCACAATGAAATAATTTTATATAAATTAAAAAAGTAGTGGGAAAACTATTCATAATTTGATCTATTTTATTTTTAAACATTAGATCTTTATTTTGGATGACCTATGTTATCAAATTCAAAACAGAAAACAAACGTTACCAAACACGGTACTAAGTATTCAAACACTGTGCTGAACAACGGTAGAAAAAGAGACAGAAGAAAAGAAAAAAGATGCAATCACAAAAAAAGCAAAAGTAAATTAACTTGTTCACTGGGTTTAAAATTCGGTTTTGCCCTTCACTGGTGTCATTCGAATACCTTCTAATATAAAATCAAGTTTTTGTGAGACTTTTTTACACCCTGATACAGAATAAAGTAATGCATCTGGTGGTGAGAATTCGATTAAATCAAGAACTTTAGCAACAATGTCATTATCAGATAATTTATATTGATATTCTTCATTTTTACGAACAGTAGCAAGTTGCCGTTGAACACAAGTACGAACATGTGAGCGTTCAAGTGGTAAAAATGGTACAAAAAAAGTTTCTAAATTACGATTACTTAATAATCCATGCCATAATCCACCTTGAATAAGAATAAAAATACAAGATTATATACAAAACTATCAAAAGAAAAACTGAATGCGTAAACCTGGTTCACTACGTGCAGCATTTGCAAATGCGTCTCGAAATCCCGTTATTGTGAAAGCCTCACGATTTATAGAAGCCGAATTATATTTAAGAGCTAGACGATTGATTTCTGTTGCACCGGTGTTACTAAAGAATAAATAGTCATGTTTCTTCGAAAGAAAATTATCGTAGTTTTGTTTTTACCTTAAAAAAATAAATATAGTTTTACGAAAATCAATTGGTATGGGATATCTTTCAGTATAAAAATGAGTATAATGCAAAATAATTTCCAATAATAATGACTGAACATAAGGTTTATCAACTTCATCAAAAATAAATGTTGCATGTTCACAAGTACTTGTTCCTTTTTCAATATCTTTCTTAATTCGAGCCTATGCACAAAAAAAA